GCACCTTCAAAGTGCAAAGTGTCGCTGCAGGACCACCAGCCACTCGATGACCCCTTGACGCTTGCTAGCGAGGAACTCGAGGTGGTTGATCAATTCACTTATCTTGGCAGCTGCATCAGCAATGATGGGCGCATAGAAACTGATGTGAGCTCACGCATAGCAAAAGCCAGAGCTGCCTTCTTGAACCTGCGTCATCTTTGGCGACAGAAGGGTTTCCCTCCGCCTGAAAGGCCGTGTATACAAAGCCACAGTGACGGCCGTTCTGCTGTATGGTAGTGAGACTTGGCCCCTTCGGTCTGAAGATCTGAGGCGCCTTCAAGTCTTTGGTCATCGTTGTTTGCGAAGCATTGCTGGTGTCGGATGGCACCAGCGTGTCCGCAACGATCATGTGCGTAGGCGAGTACTAGGTGGTGATTATCATGCTAGCTCCCTAGAACAACAGATAGCACTGAATAAGTTGCGTTGGCTCGGACACGTGCTACGCATGCCTGTTCACCGCTTACCCAGGAGGGGCTTGTTCTGTCTACCAGGTGTAGGATGGCGCACGGCTCGAGGTGGCCAGAAGTTGACTTGGCAGCGGGAAATGAAGTCACTGACGACCAAACTGGGTGCCGTTGGTCCGTCTCGCCTTCCGGGTTGGGGTCCACGTGACTCACCTTGTGCTGGGCTCGAGACTTTACAGGACATGGCTCGCAACCGACACCAGTGGCGCGTCTGCTGCCGTCTGCTGCTGTCTGTTTAAAGTGTGTTTGGTGCTGAGTTATCTGCGGGGTAATGGCTGATTATGACGCGTGGCAGTGAAAGCCGCAAGGAAGCTGTCTCGCCGATGCCGCCTTATCTTTGCACGATAGCCAGCTGTTTGTGACGGAATGTTATCTACACAAGGTGTAGGCGCCTTGACCCTGAATGTTTGCTTAGGGCATTAAGGTTTTCAGGCAAGTCCCCCTTCTCTCCCTCTTCTTATTCTTTATTTTATAGGTCCTCATGGTTGTATGGCAGCGAAGCATCAGTTCAAATGACTGATGTACTGCTGGTGATGATGATGATGATGATGATGATGATGATAATGACCGTTTGCAAGGGCTCGCATGCCATCCGCCATAGTGTCCATTTGGACGGCTGCTGTAGGATCTTGTGTTTACAGTTCGGGTAATCAGAAGCAGTTCGTCGCATATCTGCATTTAATTCAGGCCACCAACGCCTGCATCGAACGAGGCGCTTCATCTTTTCAACACCAAGAAGGCCAGAATGTAAATCGGTCAGAATTGCTGGCCTCAAAGTCGGCAGAATAACGATACCATCATTCACACACAGTAATTCATCAGGTGTAACACGCAACTCTTCTCCGCGCATATAAAACTGTGGGAACTTCCGTTTGAGATATACAGACCACCCTCGGTTGACAGCAGAAATCAATGACCATAATCCTTTATGGTCTCCTGGATAAGGGTTAAACGAGAGCTTGAAAGCGCCTTGGTGAGTAAATAACTCATTTCAGAATTAGCTTCGAATACCGTTACATTTGGTGGTAAGTGGTTGATGTGAGGTATAAACTTTGCATTTCTTTGCTCAACCACATAGTTGTACTCGCTATGAGTAACACGTTACCTTTGAACCACAGCTGCTGAAGGTTTAGCTAAAGGACTGACAGGGTTGTAAATGGACTTTAGCGCTTCACAAGCTATCACATTAGTAAATCTGAGGCTAAACAAATATTTGTGAAAATTTTTTCGCAATACTGGTAGCTCGGGTTGATGAATCAATTGTTCATTTGTTCGATTCAATATACGAACCACCACGATGGGAAGAAATAATGAGGCAGAGTAATTCGGGCGCCGACTTTAGCCTTGGGGAAAGTGGGTAGAGGTCACGGTACCTAAATCGACACTGCCACGTTCAAAGTCACCTGCAGGTCGATCATGGATGGAGGATTCAGTTAGTAAGCTTGCACGCTACATATCACTGCACTGAGGATACCACCTCGCATGGTGGTGAACCGTTTGCGACAAAACCGCCAAGTTCGGAGAACAAATGAACAATTGAAATATTTGTGAAGTCTATTGACTGCCCAGTATGTAGCCAGAGCTTCTCGACGAGTCTGAGCACAACGCTTTTCTGCATTGTTGAGTCGACGAGAGATACACAGAACAGGGTGCCCATCCTACTCTAACACAGCACTTATACCGGTGAGGCATTTATGAAAAGCACGATTGGTAATTTTTGAGAAAAAGTGCGAAGAACGCACCCAGATATAAGCGTTTTCAAAAGCTTTCGAAGAATATGATCATGTTTGTCTAGCCACATAAAACTCTTGTCATTTAACAAGATGAATAAAAGATCAGCAATGGCTGCTGTAACGCTCCCATCAGTTATCGAAGCTCATGAATATTGGTGGGCGGCTTCACATCTAGCAATGGCTTTATCCGATCAGGAGCTGGTTTTGTATCCTCCATGTAACTAAAACAACCGATTATATAAGGCAAAGTAGTGAGATCGTGGTTGGAGGGGGATACTAAGAGGGATGGGATGGGATAACGAAACTCACAAGGATGTCTCAGTAGCTGTTCCCATCTAATTATTGGGTGCATCTGGACACCACGGGAAAATTCCTATAACGAACTAGACCTGAGCTAATCCAACTATTGACAATTAGTTGCATAGGATAAAGTTACCTGGACAAATTTCTGCTGTCGGCTACGGTAGCGTTCTGATCAATCTTTGACCCGCTTGTCCGTGTAAAATATCCTTACCCATGATTTCACAACCAACAGTTTATCAAACTAGAATTTTATCTGGTAGCTTTCGTCTCACAGCTATGGATGATTCTGATTGTTCGCATCTGTTGTACACTGAGAACTAGCATGTACCTGGTTATTTTCTATTACCTGAGATACATATTTTCACTTGCACTTAAATTACCTGATCATAACCTACAAGTCGGTTATCTTGCGCCTGTGCCTCTTCGTGTGATCACGAGATCTTAAATGTTGACCTTCATTCGAATGCAGCCTCCTCATTTGTCGTTCAGTACCCACTTCGACTCGGCAAAGCAGCAAAATTTTTACACTCGAAATGCTGCATCTAAGCATCAGTAGTTAACCATCATATATGTGTAGATAGAGCTCACATGTGCACACCCTACGCACTACCCTACTGGGTTTATAGTGGGGTCTTAGATTGGGTGAGGAGCGAAGTTCTATCTTTTTAAGGAACATTCTCACCATTCCTACTTGTTTCAGGGGGATGAAGGTGAACGATAGCCATGGTTGGTGGCATCCGGTTTCGGATTTGTGTCACTGTGACCCGCCACAGGACGCCTGCACCTACAGAGGGACTATGAGTGGCTTGCGCTGCACCACCCACCGTTCCATCCACACACCCCATATCCGGTGTAAACCCGAGGAAATAAGGCCGGGAGACTTGTGGATGGGAGCCACGTTTCATCAACGGAGCCGGTCCACACTCCTTCACAGACAAACACAAGCACACTGTATTTGGGGAATCAAGCGCACACAAGGCAGTGGCTGGACCGTAGTCCGCTCCACACTGAGTGCATGGAACCGCTCTTCGAGCCTAGAAGGGCCACAAGGACCGTGCACCCCGTCCCCTCCAGCAACGACCAACTGTCTCCTGGAGTCAGTATGTACGAGGTAGTGGGTAATAGACAGGTAGGCACCTTGCCAACATACAATTCAAGCTCAACCACACCGGGGATATTAAGCAACAGCCAACCACTTGAAACGACGATATCAAATAAGATAAATCGAATAATGCATACAGATGCTGACATAGCTCTTCACCAAATGTGCATATGAAATAAATTGGTTGTCAAAATATCCGCGGTAGGTTCAAGACATCGGCAAATACATTTTAAGAAAATGCCACAAACGCGAGAGTCTTATCGAAGTTTAGCACAATTAGCTTAAGCGACGTGTGCAAATTGATAGCTAATAGTTCAGGTAGACACTGCTATGAGATAAAAAGCATTAGGAAAATATAACAAACCCACCACCTAAAATAAGGTGACTCAACATGCAAGCACGAGGTTAGTAAATCGAATACAGCGTAGCTACAAACGTTGAGCGGGTTCTGCCTGCGTTCTCCACAGGACACGTCGTCATTTTTGTGGTGGCTCCGAGTGACCACGCTCATGGCTCACTAGGTCTGCCTGAATCAGGCACTAGCGACCGCATGTGTCACAGCACCATGCGCTTGATGTCGATGGAGAAAAACCCATAGGCGCTCGTCGCTTTGGTAATTGCCGCTTCTTCTCTGCGTGCACAAGGGCTTTCTCCTGCACCTCGGCAATGGCCCTCGTGATCAGATCGCGCCATTCACGCCGATCAATCGCCTTCGATTACCATGACCTGGAATCAAGATTTGAAAGTGATAGGTTCACTTTGATCATGCTCTGTTAACGAAGCGTCGGTTTCCCAACATGCCACTTCCCAACACTCAGCTGACCATATACTAGCTGCTTTGGAATTCGCATCAAATCCACAAGCACACATTCGAAGTTAGATGCAAAAGCGGTAGGCCGCAGAGCCTCAACTTCTTCTTTTCTCAAAAACCATGGAGCATCGTGAGAATATTACAATCAATTTCACTAGAGCATATTGAATATATTCAAGATGGGACGAATACGAGTTGGTGCGGTTTTATGCCTTCAATATATTATAGGATAAATATTCCGTGGGTAAGTAACGATAGGAAAACTATAAAATACTAGATACTTTGTGCAATTAAAATTCAACTTCTAGTGTTGCACTTCCGTTTGAAGAATCCGACTAGCTAAGGCATGATGATTTGATTTTGCGCGAACTTCAATTACCAGTTGACAATGATGCTTTCTTTGTTCTCTGATTTTTCTTGCAAAGTCCTTCACATTCATGCTTGTGCTGAGTAGGTCTTCTGTTAGGTTCAATTCCTGCATATTTACACAGTTTCACAACAGTTAATTGTCTGTTTTCAAACGCTTTCTGGCACCTTTCACAAACAAGCAAATGGTGAGCCAAGGGAAGAACCACCATCCACCGAAGACGCTATTGAAATGATACGAACGATGAAGTACATGTTGAACATGAGCTGTGCTACTGGAAGTTCCACATCCGATAAAACCCGGACACACCTAGTGCTGCGTTTGTTCAACACAATCTCTTGGCTGGATGGAGTGTGCAAGAGAGCTGATGTGCACCATTATGACCGAGACATGGTTGTGCACGTTCGAGAGCCATTGCTAGAAAGCGGAACTATTCGTGCGATCATTGATCAACTGTCCGTCAAAAGGCGTGCATTCTGGTTGAGCTTGGGACCTAATTGGAACAGTAGCAGGTAGGGTAGCAAATGTAAAGTTTGGTATTTTGTTTTGATGTCACTGTCGAAATAAACTTGATGTTTATGTTTCCCAGTCTTAGAAGACCTCCACTTAACCGTCCAGAGACCTACATATCTACTTTGTCTGGTGACAAGTAGACTGGAAACAGCATTAACAAATTGCTGGTGGCTATTGATTCCGGGCTACTTCGGATATTGTGTTTCCGTGTCGTTTTGCCACCATCCGATTTCCCTTACGAAAGAAATAACGACAGCAAGACCAATGTATCTGTGCAATTCACTAGTGCCAGATAGTACACAAATGTGGTACTTTCACTGAAGAAAAACACCTAAGCAAAAATGTGGGATATCTGTAACTCCGAATTACCATCAGCCACTCTCCTGGACTAAAATGTATGGACATCAAGCTGAAAAGTGAAACGGATGAGCATCTTCCATATATTGGCCATTGATTTTATCCCCGTGCTCATTCAACGTGTACCCCATCGATCTTTATCCCCTGCGAAATAAGCTAAATGGAACAATACGCTCCTGGGTAAGCCTTGATCTGGTAGCCACGAGAATGCAGCTTATACATTTGTTCCTGGTGTACCAAGATGATGAAATGACCTGTGACAGCTGGTACTTGCAGTGCATTTTCTCGTTGAAGCACAAGAATGGTCGGATGTCTAAAGGTATCTGGAGGCAACAGAACGCAGCTAAATCTAGTTTTGCTTACACTCTTCTAAGAATGACGGGATCTTCTATCGGCACGAGTGCTACAGATTCATAGCGCGTGTTTTGGATTTTGCAGTGAGTAAACTGAGTCCAAGTGTTAAACGCCTTTCGCCACCAATGAGCTGCAAAGTGAGGTAAATTGCTCAACTCCAACGCCCAACTCAACACCCAAAGGACTAGCAAATAACTAGATGGCCATTATAACACTGCATTATGAGGGGGTGAGACAAAAGCCCGGGCTAAGCCAAATGTTCTGAACTCTTAACAAACTGCGCTGGCAGGCGGATTAAGTAACTACCGCTTGAAAGTTTACGATCACCGGTCACACATTCATCAGATGTTATTAGTAGCAAACATGTCTGCATGTGACAAACCTGAATGTAAATCCAGACATTGGGTCTCTACGCAGACTCTGGAATTTCTGGATGCTCGGCAACACAAGCCGGTTGAAAGGGAGCACAAGGAGACTCACAAAGTACTCACGGCGAAACTTCGTGCATCAGAGATGCAAATAGCTGCAGGCCTTGGTACCCATCGGAGGGTATTGCGTCCGGTACGCAAAACAGATTGCTGGAGACCTGGTATTTGCGAGAATAAATGTGTCAAAACGCTTGGAACGTTAGGCCGATCACTGAAACGTACAAATAAGCATGTGTTGCCAGCTTCCTTATGAGGTCGGCGATCGTTCTTCTCCCTGGACTGTCGCTTCAGGTCCGCTCTGTCGGTCAGAATTCGAGCGTGAGATCAAACTGCTAAAATTGAACAAGTCTGAGGAACCAACTAGACTTCCTTCACCCACTAACAAATTCGGGACCTGTTCTTGTATATGACTTAAATTATTTGTCAGTACAACTGCGCGAGCGGAAAGCTGTCCATCGGGACTAGAGCTGTTGGACTATACTATGAAATTGCAAAGGGGCTCACGGAATACCGCAACCACAGAAGGATCAGTCCAATTTCCTTCGTCACTCAGCTACTTGTCTTTATCCTTCTCCATAGACTAGTTGGTAACCGTGAAATTCAGATTCGCGAGAATCAAGCTGAGTTTTGTCGAAATAGAGTCCGTATTACATACACAGTTCCAAATCGTCAGTTGTTGGAGCAACACCATATTCCTTGGGGACTCACATTAGACGTGCTCATCGACAAGAGAGGTACCTTCGATTCCATAGATCGATGCACCTTTTGTGATTGTTTGATCAGTAAATGCGTCCGATAAAGAGTTCATGAGAGCGCTTTGCGTGCATAATTGCACCTTTAGGGTTTATGGCAAACTGTCGCCGCCCCTCATTATCTCCAGCGGTGTGAGACAAAGGTTGCTAGTTGTCAACTTTCCCTTTTAACTTCGGCATCGACGAACTCATAGAATCTGCTTTCAATGGAAACGAACTAGGAGATGTAAAGCTACTGCTATGGGATCGACTGCTTGACTTCGGATATGCAGGTGGCGTTGACCCAATGCGTGACTGCTCACAAACGTGCCAAGCAACAACGGATAAAAGGGCACTGGCTCTTAGTCATTTCGGGCTGTTTTGCGTATTTTAATACAAAGCTTTTCATCCAAGATTGGCAGGGATGCCCCTGACCTTGCCACTCAGCTTTGGTGTGAATCAGCTAGAAGTGGTTAGTAAGTCAACTACTGAGCAGCTGTATCGCCAATTGTGGACTAGAAGATAAACTGACAAAACGTATGGCCGACTCCAGAATGGCTTTTCCAAACTCCGCCACTTATCGCACCGGCGAGACATCGTTCACACCCTGAAAAACAGAGTGTACAACGCAGCCGTGCGTTCAACTCTCCATTACAGCTGCATGACGCAGTTTGTCAGTGCGATAGGCATGAATAAGCTATTTACATTCGACTGCCGTGCATTCGCAGTTTTGCTCATATCGGGTAGGAACACCGAGTCAGTAACTAGTGGGTTGGGCGCCTCTTATTTGGTACTGCAATTGAACATGAGCTGCTCAACACCGTTCTTTTACGCACCAGCACACTAGCTCCCTCGAAACTCGGTGTTTGCGCAACCTGCTTGTTGATGGAAGAAGAGGAGCGGAAGCCACGCGCTAACTTGGTCGAAAGGAATGAAATCTCTCACTCTGAACTTGGCGTCTGTTGATATCTCCCGACTGCCGGGCTGGGGTCCCAAGGACGATGAACGCGTTTGATTGGATACACTTGTTAAAATGGCGAAGAACAAACCTCTATGATGTATGTGTTGCGACTTCCTTTGCCTCCCCGCTCCGACCGCTTTCGCACAGTCGATGAATACTCTGGTCTTTAGCATTATAGTATCGGTTTTAGTCGTATTTTGTCATTGTTACCGTCTTGCTTTTAAGGTATTATGCCTTTTTGTATCACTGTGCGTTGAATGCGGTTTTTCTTACATTTAGATGACGTGTACTGATTAGTATTATGCAATTTTGTAAATGTCAGATTGTCTGTTGCGGTAGTCCACATAGCCCAGCTCAACCAATTCCACTTCACTTAACCTTCACCCCTTATATCGTGAAAACTCTTAATAATTGAGAACGTCACTTGCTACTAAGACGGCATCTGATGGCTGGCCATGGACTCTGACGCTACCTGCAGTGCACGGGCGTGAAGCGCCAAGTTGCTCGCGTTTTTGTAAGAATACTTTTTCATTCAAGTATACTGAACAAAATTCAGTGATCAACTGAGTCGTGCACACATTGCGATTCCCACAGGCAATCATGGGGTGGGTGTGTTGTTGCTCCGGCACCCACCGCAGAATGAAAAAGGCGATGTGCGCCCTGTCCTATTGCTGCATGTGCAGCTATCTTTTTAACCCGTGCCTTGAATGCGACGCTTTCTTTCGGATGCGTCCAGAAGGCCAGTTGGTAGACGGATTGCGATTAGCAAGTGTCCAGAAAATTCAGCCACTGTCCCAAGACTTTCCACTTGTTGCTAGTTGGAGGTAGTTTCCGCTGCTGATTTTCGTTTTACTGTTGCAGCCATGAGAAGTCGAAGTTATATCTGTACTTGTCAGTTCCTTATCCATGATCGTCTCGACCTTGGACCTACCTAGTGGAATCTGAGAGCTATCTGTTACCGGACATTGAAGCAGGAACGTCCTCACACTTTGTGGTTGCCTCCCTGGTGAGCTTTTGAATGAAGCTTTCAGTGGGATTGATAACGCATTCCACTCGATTTTTGAATTGGAGGCCTTACAGTGTAATCCAAACGTGACGGGTTTCATCGTGCCAGCAACGTTTTGCCAAGCGGTTGGGGTGGACCAGGATTCAATACTCCTGAGGTCAAGTGCCCTGAACTTTAGTTGGTGAAATGTTCACAGGGGTTTCGTGACTATTTGTGCCGTTAAAGTGTCTGGCATCATAATGTCTTTCACTCACCTGTCATCTACATCTCCAGCAACTACATAATGTTGTCTGTTATGGAGTTTCATAAGGTTCAGGGGCACTCAGGACCAAAGGGTATTGGTACCAGCCTAGAAAAGCAGGATGCTCTTTTTTGACGCTTTTGCCACCGCGGCGAGCTGCTGTAGGATTTCCAGAAGGAGCCTGCGCAGGTCGATGTGATCCATGAGCTCATCCAGTTGACTTCTTGGTCTGTAACCTTACGACACGGCCTTACATAATACATTTCCTCGGTTTACATTATCTGAGTTCATTCCTGTTGCCATTAGAGGTACCTTTAGAGTTTCCTCGACAGTGCATTTCACTCGTTCTCAATAGAAATGGCTGTAACCAAGGCCTCCGCAAATTACATGCACTGCGCACAGTACACATACCCATCGTAATGGACTTCATGCTTACAGATGAAATTGCAGTACATTCCATAACTATGCGAGTCCGCAACAAAACTCATTTGATGATAGGCTGTTGAATCCGAATAGGTGTCTGGGAAAATGGAGATGATAGTTACATCACATGGATGACGGGTGCCGCAATAGTCTTCCAGCCACAACTATCAATAGCTATATGAAACCTGTGTGAACTCAGGGAGATGTCAGCTGCACGTAATCAATGAACAGGCAGCAGCTTCTTGCATGGTAGAACTGTGCCGCTCGCTTTTTCACCGAGTTGATCAAATGCATTACGGAATCGCCACCACTAACGGGACGTAGTTTGCACTTAACTGGTGTTATAACTTGGTCTTCTTTGCTGAGTTATTTCAATAAAGCTTGGCGGTACATTTATTATAAACTCCAATCTCACGCCCACTACAGCTGTCAAGTCTGGAATGGCTGAATCAAACGGGTTTCTGAACCGGCTGCCGTTCTCGACTTGTTTCGAAATATAAAACCGGTTTACGGGTAGACGAGCCAGCCCGTCATCTATTTGGTATGAGCGCTTTTCCCATTTTTCCGCAAAAGTATTCGACGTCATTTTAAGGCTCGGAATGAAATACAATCCTCCTCATAAACCAGCCATATCTTAACAATATTCCGACGCCTTAATACTTTCATGTATTGATGAGTAAAATGATCCGGTCATGCTCATAGATTTCCTACAATACGTTAACTGTCTGCCCAGCGCCATTTCAATCGGTCACTTCTCCTTACTTCTATATTCGATTTCAGCGATCCAGCTACCGAAGCTGAAAACAGCCGTGCGTCGGGGTGCGATAAATCACAAATGAACACGCGCTGCGATCGGTACTGCTCGCAAAAGAATGTGAGTGATACAATATGTGCTATCTAGCGGAAACCATTCAGCCATTCACCATTGAACAATCGATCGCCTTTGGACTACAGATTGCACACACACAGTGATAGCTGACCTAGCAAATGACTCTATGGTGTGGTTAGGATGTTGCCGAAGTGGTGACTCGCAGTTGACGTGACACATTCAGGAAATCTCACAGGCATTCGGAGACCTGACGCATGTGCTGGCTTAAAAAGGCACATCCGTACTAATTACAAATATAACGGCGTTGTTACGTAGTGTGATCGCACACTGTGTAGGTGCTATTGTGGCGTTGATATCGGAATGAGAGACGGTTTCGGGTGAGATCTCTGAGCGGCTCATCATAATCAAGCTGTGAGCAATACTTTCAAACAGGAGCATACTTGCTGTATAATATAGGTGATCATGATGCAAGGGTTGTTATTTGGGGCACTTAATATTAGTTACATTCCAGCTGGCCGACGGAGACATTAACTTTATTCTCTAACAAAGGCAACGGCGAAAATGCTGAAACTGTCCTGAAAACCTTCGCCATTAATATACAATGCCCTCACAAACTATTCCATAAATCCAAGTTCCAGATGTATTGAAAGAAATGGGCTCTCTGGTGACAATTGGATCATGCATATTTTGACATGACAGCATCCAAAGTTTCACATCTTGCTCATTCCTTATGTTTTCAGTGTTTCTCTTGAGCTCGACTGTTTCACATGCAGAGACAACATGGAACCTAGTGTAGCCTGTTTGCTGACCAAAAAGGAAGTACATATTCTTCAGTCCAGTAAGAACGATCCACTTAGATCCTGACACTTGATAGTGTTAAAGAATAATCTAAGTTATTGTATAATTCCCTCAAATGTTCTGAGCAGTCCACTCGAACTGGTCCAGATACACTGTCACTGTGCAACAGAACACACTCGAAACTGCGCTTTGAATTATCCAAATTACTTGTTTGATTTTCAGGTTTCGGAGCACCCGCCGAGTGTGTTGGAGTGCGACAAGCAACCTCCATTGCGGCATCGGTTGACTTTGAAGTCAGCCATACTGAAACCCTCCACTTCGGTGCCGGTTCTAGTGATCATATGGGCAGAGGCTGACTTCAGAGTCTACCGATGCCGTGCTTGAGATTGCTTCTCGCAATTCAAGACACACGGCGGGTGCCTCAAAACCCGAAAAGCAAGTTCAACCGTTATGTCAAGCACTGCTCGTGGAGCTCAAGGACCTAGTGATCATGGCGATAGCCGCCAAGCACTATGTGTCGAGTTCCACTCCTAGCTCGGCTATCTATCTCTACCTGATGAGTTTGAACAAAGACGAAACCGTCGATCATGGAGTGCGTGGATAGGAGAAAAGCACTCTGAAACCCTCCACTTCAGTAACGGTCGCAGTGACCGTGTTGGCAGAGGCTGACTTCGACGTCAACCCAGGCCGCAATTGCGATTGCGATTCGCAATCCAAAACACACGGCGGGTGCTCCGAAACCCGAAACTATCCAAATTAGTCTCCATTCTGTTGGATCATACAAGGTGATTCTCAAATACATTAAGAGGTCTGGAACATCAATGCCAAATTAATGCTTGTTTCTTAAAAGAAAAGCCAATAAAATCTCGTCCCGTTTTCAGAATAAGGAAGCTTTTCCTCAGCAGTTAAGCCGACCATTTCACTTAGCCTGGAGACTAGTAATTGAGCAGCTCTCTTGGTGGGCCATAAAGCGTGCACTAAGTCGTTCAGTCATCGTTGACCGAATTACTTGACGGCTGATGAAAGTTTAGTATATATTGCAGACCCGCCATAAACTGAAGTCTGTTCATGTTACTAGACCCCGTCTTTATCATTTGATAAAGCAAAACGTTTAAATTTTTTTACTGGAAGGCCTTCGGAGTGTCGAATGGGTCAAGCTGCTAGGAAAACATTGACATAGAAGATATTATGCCAGTTATTCTCGCTAATACCTTTTGTATTAACCATACAAAAATAACAGTCCCTTATGTGTTTTATGCATTCTCACTAAGCCATGAGTACTACGAACGGTAGGCCTTTGCGTTTGCCTTTCGTCCGCTTACGAAGCATTTCTTCAAAATAATAACACGCAATAGAAATTTCCGCCGCTTGTCTTGGTCTCCAATGGTTATTTCGAAATGTGCTTCATAGACCCTTTTTACAAACGTAGCGCAATTTCTCAGTTGACGAAATGGTGTACAGCAGCCCCATAGATATCCGGATAATCCTTTCCAACCCACGGACACCAATCTTCTACTCGCACATTTGTGACGATATCAAACATTGAACAATGGAGCAGCACAATTACAAGCACAAACTACACAGCTACATACACATACATTTACATAGTTACATACCTCCCTACACACACATACACTGTTATGGCAAACATATCGGAGTTTTGCACCTGCTTGATCACGCATTGTTATGTCATATGTTTATATATATATATATATATATATATATATATATATATATATATATATATATATATATATACATGGAACGCTGCATGAAGTCCATTTGCATACCTCTGTCTGAGTGTACCATAGTTATATGTGAAGCGAAGTTGGATTTGTATGTAATTTACTATTTATGCGAACTATAAAAAGGTATGTCAGATAGAGAATGTAGGAAACACATATTTGATATTTGGGATCAGCGTTTAATGTTTATTTTGAATCAGTCTGATAATCTCTTACGGCAGAAGGCTGATAAAATTTTGTCACCCTATATACTACATATATATATATATATGTAATAAATATATTATAAACAAGGTATGATAGGATCCAGCAAAGTTGTCTCAAGCATATTACCTGTCAGCTTTAAAATACTTCTTTTCCTGTGTCTAATGTTTGTTCTCTCCTAGTGATGCTCTCACTGGAAATTCGTTCTTACATTGGGACGGCATTTGGTCCCAATCACCCCACTTTGTATCTTAGTACATTCGTACCAGTTGGAAAATGCTCAATGAAGTGGAAAGTAAGCAATACGTAGGCAAGTGTGAACATAAATGAAATGGTTGTATATGACGACTGTTGCGGCCGGCCGAAGCCGATGCCGTCTACTCACTAGCCATTGGCTGGTTGGTGTACGTTTACTCTCTTCTCATTGATTGTGTTAAGTAGCGGCGTCCTCGACCAATAGTGACTGTGTTACGGGTTGTGTATGAGACATACATACTGCTTTTAACTGTTATTTGTATCTATGTCACAACGACAATTTAAGCGTCAGCGAAAGAGAATGAAGGCGGACAAAATGGAACACTTACATGCTAGACGGTCAACTAATGGTTATGTTCCCATTACTACTAACAGTAAGCCTGAGTATGTTGTGCTCGATCTGAGTAAGTCAATGCGAATGAGTCATTCCACACATAGTGGTGAGGTGGAATAAGTGAGAAAAACCTGACAAGGTGCATGAGGTAGATGAATTAGCGAGCTGACGACAGTTGTACGACATATCAATGTGTCCGTGTCTTATAGACATAAGACGGGTTTTTCATTTATTTACGTAATGAAAACTGGGCTCTGAAGGAGAAAATGGCCAAAAGTAGGGGTTATTCTTATCTTGCATCGGTGTGCTCATGCCTTTTATCCGTACACGGCGTTTCCAATCTCATTGAAAGCGGAGGAAGAAGAAGTATGCGCGATTTGGTTTGAGGCGATTCAATTCTCGGTCAATGAAGAGCAAAATTAAGAGTTGCGGAATTGCACGCAATACTCCACTAAAACTTGGTCCTCGTTGTATTATCAAACTTTCCTCCTGACCCTTTGTAGTGCTGTAAGTCCTGTGTTTACCTAGGTATTATCATGCTCATCCTTATGTACACATCAGTCTGTGTAACGGATAGAAATCAACTCTGCTATGTTTTCGGTAGTTAAGTTGGCTTTTGAGCTTGTGAATCAAGGACTAACCCCAAACTACTTGAGGTAATCTCTCCTATAGCATAGGCCAGTTATATCTGAGGATTTCGCAGTAACGCGATGAGAGGGTAGATGCGTCACATACTCCTCGCTTCTTAGTTTGTAAATCAGGCCGTAATTGGTACGTATCTGACGACCAACAACATTAGAAGGCGGTTGTCTCACGTAGGTGTAGTGGAGCGATGGTTTTGGGGACAAGGAACTATAAGCTTTGCGTGTTTGCGCAAAGAACGCACGGCGCAGCAGTCGGTGTGCCGTCATGCGAGGGACGGGAATTTAGGCAACCTAAGTGGGAAGTAGGAATGGGGGCAAGATAGCTCTCCATAGAACACCAGAATTCATTGCCAGTGAAGAAGAGATTTCCTCAAAAGAGTTGGTAAACTGTGTACTCTTCGTAAAATAATCTTTTAATAGAAGAATAATCAAAGTTTGAACTCCGGAACCTGATAGATCGTGTAACGGTAGTTCACTGTTCCCATACCTGAAAGCATTGCTGCAATGTAGGAAGCAGACGTGGATGGATTTGTCTTTATTATCCAGTGACGAAACCACGGTATATATCAAACATAGTACTGCATCTAAGACAGACCTTTGCTGCGATATACAAACGCTCCAAATGTGTCAGAGCTTAATTTATGTTAAGAATAATTCCCTCAAAAGTCTTCAAATCAACCGGGGTGAAGGTGATCGGGGGAAATTTGCAGCTTCTTCTTTTGGCACTGGTGTGATGCTTGCGCTTTTTAAACTGTCAGATATCTTATGTGGACTGTATATGCTCACAAAAGGCCAGAGGCTGTACCAGGTAACCTACGCACTTCTTAAGAACGACAGGAGACAACTCCGGACCAGGAGCCTTATTCATTTGCAACCTGATTTATCTGAAAATTCCACCAGCGTTGATACAGTTCAAGCAAAGCAATACGCCATAGTATCATAAATAATCTATGAATAATCATATACTTTCATTAATTTAATACTCTTGCCCCATATGTCTTAGCCTCCACTAAGACATGCCTAACATATAGCGTGAGCATATAACATCTATAATACATTGGATCT